TAATAATGTTGAAACTCCTAGGCAGCAGGCGGACCCAGTGTGAATTCGAGGTTTAAGGGTTTGCGTCCTGTTGCCACAAAATCACGTTCGCACTTTGGGGATGTGAGTGTGTTATATGAGAGACGATCAAATCCCATTGTTCAATTAGAGTAGCCCAAGCTGTGTGTGTGTGCTGTTGACAAACTGCCTTACATATGCCTATTAGCTTGAAATTAGCGTAGCTTTGCGCAGATATCCGAAACAAACAGAGCACGTGATGTTTAGAATACAGGTAACCACAATATCGATATTTTAATAACAATTTTACTAACGAAATATATCCTCATTAGTGAAACACAAATCTCTCATTAGCTTTATTCTAAAACCAAATAACTTCGGCCTATATAACATTGTTTATTATAAACACTAAAATAAAAGAATACACATTGCTTGAAAAACGAGAAAGAACAGTTAAGTTGAGACATATATCAAGGAATGAGTATACATTCTGTAAATCAAGATAACTTCAATCTCGTTGTTTTTATGTATTTATTTATATGACGTGACGAATGTCGAAATACAGTGTCCTTATTCTCTGTATCGTGGTTTCCTTTCCCTAAGGATTTTTGTGATGTAACACAATATAATTACATCTATTTTAACTTCTATGATACATTCGACTCAGTCTATACGAAACTTGTTTTTGCGACTCATTACCTTATAATTTAATCTCGTGAACATTCTAATGCTTGAGCTTCATCACGCATCAAATGGGCAAAGGTAGTTGCCTTGGGCCTGGGATTAGGAGTGGCTTTTGGCATAGGCAAAATCTGATAATTAAAAAATATCTAACAAGCCAATAACGTAGAGAAGCAATATGTCAGACTACAGTAGCAGGTGGGGTATTCTGACAGTCTGTGATCTGAAAGGACTAGGTACAACTAGAGTGTTGAATGTTCTCTTTGTAGTTTTCTATTATCACACACAGGTTTATTTAAACTAGGTAAAATGGACCATGTGTGGTGCCTTAAAATCCAAGAGAGAATTAACAATACACTTGAACCACTACATAAAACAAAGGAAATTTCTTTTCTTTTAATGACAAGAATATTTAAATTCTCTCCTCACAACAGCTGTCTGTTTTCAAGCTGTCGATGTTAAACTCCCATTTTGTTCAACTGGTCTAACAACAAACAAAGAAATTGTCACTCGCTTCAAACGGCCGTAACACCATAACGATATCACGCACCATAGTGACCACGGGACAGAAGTTTAAAAGGAATCACATGATATTTGGTTACTTTGGGTAAGATATAGATATGTAACGAGAGAACCACTCCTATTCACTACTACCTTCCAGAAGCGTCGATAGGCACTGGTACAATGCCCCGATTCTACTTGACAGTGCCCACAATCCCCAGTTGGTGTCTTCAAAAATCAGTATAGAAAACCATGATAGATATCATGCTGAAATGCCAAAACTTCCAGTAGCTATAGCCCGGAGCCCCGAATTTTTTAGTATCTAGTTACGCTTCCTTCCATAGCATTAAGTCACAGAAACTGTAGGTACTGTTTAACCATCATTCAGCAATGTTCAAAATTCTTTCAGGCACCGTTTCCTGCCTAAACTAACCAACAAAATTCAATATAGAAGTACAAATACTCTAAATTTGTCAATGATCAATGGCTATCAAAAGTTATTGCCTGTGGAGCCTTAAGTTAAAAACTGTTTTTAACTTTCTTACTTTTCAGTTAACGAATTACCTTTTATCATGTTTACATATTTTTGTCAATTTTTCTTCTGATCACAAAAATGTAATTGTTTTCGCTTGGCAAAATAATAGAAAATTTCAATTCAATTCTCGAGAAACAACTGACCGTGATTCCGTTCAGAAACCACACCGCTAACAGCGAGTCCTCTCTCTGTTAGCCAATGAGTGAGCTAAGTATAACGATACAGCGAGAAGTTATTCACGGGTCTATAAACATGCTGGAAAAGGGGACTCAGCTTTTGCCTTGATAGGTGCAAATTTAGGATTAGCTAACTGTAATAAAGAAAGAATTAAAGGAGTAAGCTTCATACATAAATTTTGAGATGAATCACTGAGACATAGACTTCTGAAATATTGAATAACAATTACAGTTTTTTTTTGTAATGTTTGAACATATAGGTGATTGAAACGACAGCATATCTAAACCAATATAATATTTAATGACAATCAAGAAGGAAGCAAAGGTTAGATGGTAGTCAGGGTCATTATGAACGTAAATAATTTAAGGTTTTTGTCATTTTGTTTTAGCAAAAAGCTAACCAATACGCTATGTGAGTTATTTCCACCACGGGAATTGAACCTTGGATTTTAGCGTTGTACGACAATAAATTTATCGTTGAAACACTGGGGAACTGAAGTTTTTGACAAGAGCTTGAAAAATAGCTTCGTTGCTCATAGCGCCATCTGCCACAGAGTAACAGATAAAAAAAAGTAATAACTTTTCATAAGATGATAGACAAATTTTGAAACTTTCATGTATTTCAAAACAATTATTCACAAGCATTTACAGTAATAGAAACAGTTATGGGTACATACAGGAATCATAGCAACAAAAAAAAAACGAGTAATGGCAACTACAAAATGCATTGATTAGTGGTATTCGACACATTATCGCAACAAAGTGAATACATTGAATAACGAACTGGTATTTTATGTGTGAACCTTTTGCTTTACACAGACTATTGCACCTTGTTTTCATGTAGTTTACCAGTGTACCACTGCACAATATTGTTCCATATGTACTGCACTGCTCTCCGTAATTCAGCAAAGTTGTTTGATCGCCTTTTAACCTTCTAAGTTTCACAGAATCCCATAGATCCTCAAGAATATTTACAACGAGAAATTGTTAACATTTCATTGGCCTCTTTACTGTCAGGATATCGTTGCATCACATTTGCTATATATACTTATAATCATTGTCTCCCTATAATACGAATCCACGCCACATGAGTCTTGTTTTTGAAGAAATTTTTACTTGTCAGTAGTCAGGGTGCCATCAATTTTGTCAAGATCATCAACACCGTTGACTGAGATGTGGTCTCAAACATATACTGATTATCTACCATGCTTCACTGTAGATGTTATACATCAAGTGTGATACCGTTCTTCTCTCCGCCATCAAACAAAATGTTGTTGATTGCTGGCTAAAAATTATAACTTAAATTCATCTGTAAAGAGAACACGCCTCCAACTTTACTCAACAACTGCTTCTGTTCCGACGTATATTTCAAACCCGGAAAGGGTTTTCGAGTGGTTTCACTTCATTTGAGACCACTTCGTGTTAATGTGCATCTTAATGTTTTTGAGGTAATAGCCACACCTGTACTTACAAGAAACTCATTGGTTATATTTGAGTTCGACTATCGTTCATAGTCTAAAGAACATATCCTGCGATACTTAACTAAAACAAATAATGTTTTAAAATCTTATAAGGAACGTGGGTTATAATTTAAGTTAAATGTACAACCCTTTTTTGGAGATTTATTTAGTGCAAGCTTTCATCAGAGCTGGAATTTTCATCAGGCATAATTTAGTTTAGGCCTAACTCTACTGATGTAAGTGTCGATCAAATTTAATTAAGCAGAACGTTTTTATTTACTACTTTGATTATGATTTCGTTGTAAGTTAATGACACAGGTTTGTGATTTTATTAGCTTTTTGTTTCTTTTTCGTTACCGTGTTAAAGTTTTTTTCTAAATTCCAAGTAAGACGAAACAAATCATAGCTTTCTTGTTTATTTGAAATGTGGAATAACTCTCGCTTTCCCAGCCCATTTTGGCCTTCAAACTCTTTTATTTTACAGTCAATATGTAGTGTAATTACGTTTCTTCTTTAGTCAGCACAGTAATCACATTTGTCCTTTAGTCAGTAATACAATGATATTCATCCTACAGTCAGTATTGTAATCACTTTTATCTAATAGTCAGTAGAATAACAACATCCATACTATAGTCAGTACCGTAATCACATTTATACTATAGTCACTATTGTAATGATATTCATCCTACAGTCAGTAACGTAATGACTTTCATTGAACAATAAGTACTGTAATCACATTTATCCCGCACTCGGTACTGTAACTATTATATATATATATATATATATATATATATATGAGTAAGCACAATGACGTCATGGAGAAGATTTAGAACCGTCCGTTTTGGTGTTAACAAAGAATGATAGTAAATACCAAAGCCTTGAACGAGAGAATTTTATCTGTTAGTTATAGCTTGTGGATGAACAGAAGTAGACTTATTTTTCGATACTTCTTGGTAAAGCTTCTATTACGGACATATAAAATAGCGGGTTGAATATGGGAGAGGGGAAAGGGGGTACAAGATATGCCAAAGTATCATAATTACTTTACACTAATAGCTAGTTTTTATGAACAACTTTATTTAAAAATCACTGACCATTAATAGGACCGAACTCCTTAAGCCTAATATGAATTGTATATGAGGTATCATTCCTTTGAATAAACTTTCAGGGAATTATAGTTATGCTCGTATATAACATTGAATAATGATCCTATTAAATTTATTAAAACAGTTCTAAAGTGCAAGTTATCATTTTGGCTATCACTGTTTTTCTAACGCCATATGGGCCCGGTAGAAACTGGGTTTCGATACCCATGATGGGCAGAGCATAGATTTCTCATTGTATAGCTTTGTGCTTAACTTCAAATAAAGAAACTAACTAACTAACGCCACCTATATGTTTTCTTTAAATATATCTTCCGTTAACTCCGTTTTACATAAAGTTCACTAACGTCAATATTCGTAAAGTTTAATCCCCTAACAAAATATTATTCCACAACTGAAAGTAGTTTCTGATTGCGACTTTGAACTCTGCTGTTATACTAAAGCTCTAGAAAAACTACTAAAATAACCAACTAAGTAAATATATTAATTTATATTTATTACGAAGCAGTAGAACAAAATTTGTCCTATCAAACCATCGAAACTCATATAACAACCAAGTCCCTACATTTTATTATTTGATTCTATACAGTTGTAACTCTTCAGATACAAGCATAAGGTGCTTCTACACTTTATGAGATGACAAAAATTTACACAAGAATTTTGACTTTCTTCAAAACTTTTCGCTGGATGATACAGGAAAGCGATAGAAGATTTCTTTTAATAATTTAGTAGACTAAATGCTCTTTCTTTACTGTTCTTCCGGGAAAGGTCCACCCATAACTGCCTTGATAAATGCTACAAAAAATATATATGTATATATAGTTATTGACTAAATATTAGTTTCTCGCAATAGCAAGATAATCTCACAAAGATCGTAGGAAAAGCTGTCAACAAGCAAAAGCTTTTTATTTAGATTATTAGCCTTTTCACAAATAGCTTGAGGCTAAAAGAAGACAGAGGCTGTCTTTAAAAAGTGATACATATTTACGCAGTTTGGTGCTGAAATATTTTAATAAAATTACATAATAATACTAAAAAAATATAATAGGTTAATAAATAACAGTTATATTACAAACACTGTACAAATTTACAACAGTTCTTATAATTTGTTCCTTGACAAATAATTCCAAAATAGAGGTGAAAGATTTTCAATTTACATATTTTAGAAACTTACGTTCATATTTGATAAAACCGTCGTCATCTTCCTGCCCAGCGCATGTCTTCATTATCTCGTCACACTCGGGATCAGTCAACCTTTCACCTAAGGTTTCAAATAACAAACCTTCATATTAAATATATGTAGAATATCATAGATTACAAGAAAGTATAATAAAATGGAATACTAATTTTAAGAATCTACAGATAAATTTAGCTCAAAGACTTTCATATGTGTTTAAATTCAACAAACTTGTATAAGATGTTGTTAGAACTGAATAATCATCATTTGGTTTTCTAAGGTCCTAGCTCTCTTATAGCAAAGATAATCATACCAAGAGAAAGAAGAACGTGAGCAAGCTCAGCGGCCAACATTGTTCCATTTTCAGACTTGTCGTACACCTTCAAGCCTTCCATAAAATCTTCTTTCGTACCAATGTCCTTATCCTTCTTCAACTGACTGTAGATGGGCAAGAACTCTTCGAACGTTATAACTCTCTCTCCTTTTAAACAATAAAAACAGATTTGTATTAAATAGTTGAAAGATAAAAGATATTAAAAGCTAATGCATTTTATTTCAGCATGTAACTTATCTGTCTTTACTATATCTCTAATACTTTACTTAATAATGTTAAGAAAGTATAGCAAAATATTAGTCATAATCACCATGTGATATGTTCTCTTGCTATATTTTGTTGATCACACACTAACTAATGAATCTAAAACATATGTGTATATACAATCTCAGTTAACACAACAGATAATAAATCAAATCTTTTTCATGTCACTACAAAAATATTTAGGTCTAAGTAAGGATACATTTATACAAAAGGGAATGATTGAAGTTTCTAGCTGAAATTAACTATTAATAATTTTCTTTTCTATTAAAAACGAAAAAAATATACTTCCAGTTTTCTTTCATATTATTGGTGCAATGAACAAATACATAAATCTTATTCCAAAACAAGCAGGTATATTAAACTATTCACAATTTTGTATAAAAGCTATAGTTATATAGTTCTAACTTGCTTGTTACCTCCGTAAAACTTTACAGCTCTACACGACACACCAGCAGTGAAGACATCTTTGTTTAATATACTTACACATACTATTACACGTATTATCTATATATAAAAAAAAAATATTTATTAACTAAATAGCCTTATTTTACACACAACAATTAAGGCAACGTTATCTTTTTTTTTGTAAATTGTTTAAGTAAAAACATGTTACCTTTTTTTTTAGTTCCACCGTTTTTCATAATAGTCTCGATTGTGGGCTTTAAGTCAAGGGACCGGAGCAAATCGCCGAGATCTTTCCCATCGACTTTACCGACACCCTCGAAATCGTATATTTCGAAATGTTCCTTGGCCTCTGTTATCAAATAAAATAACTTTCATTGAGTGTTTTGAAAAGAAAAAAATATAATAGGTTAATAAATAACAGTTATATTACAATCACTGTACAAATTTCCAACAGTTCTTATAATGGGTTTGAAAACTTTTACATATTCTTTTTGTTTAGATTAGACAACTTATACCACTGTAGAATACTAAGTTACTTTTAATCCATGAAATATACTTACCTTCAAATAACGTTGTTGTTTTATCCGAAATATTTGGGGATTGTAGCATTTATTTTCCTTACAACACAACTCTAAATAATAATAATTATGTGTGTGTGTGTGTAACATTATTGAAGTGTTAGAAAGAAGCTCGGTAGTTTTATTATTGTTTTTTTTTCCCCCTTCTTTGTTTGTCTCGAGCTTCTTCTTTGTCCCACACATCTGAAACCTTACATTTGTTGTGGGTCTTGAAATTTTGGATTATCGCCTGGAAATAAACCACGAGTTTGATTATCTGTAATATAACAGTTTTAACATTAAATTAAACTTTAGGGGGGCAAATTATATGGTGATTTATTATGAAAATATGTTAATATGATAAATGATATATATTATAGTTTGATGAATAATAACATTAAGAAAAACTAATTTATTATTAAAATCGTAACAAAAAGTAATGTCGTAGAAAACTCAGTAAGTGCTGAAAGTATTTGTGGTATCTCAAATGATACGTAGTCATACTAAAGCACTAACATGCCCGGCAACACGCATTGCATGTTGACCCTACTCCTAAAAAGGACTGGAAGTGAGGGACGATACTGAAACTATTTTTAGTTCAACATAATGTGCCAGAAATATTATATATATACCGTATGGTTGTGGATAATGTTAAAGGTGCTGGCAGAAAATCTACAGACCAACCGACGTATTGAGTTCTTAAAATGTTAATATCCAACACATTCCAAGCATCTTATTTAAACCACAATAATTTTAAAATGTTGATAAAACATGCTATTTTTATGCACATCGTATTTTTTTATACAATTTGCATGGACATTGATAGTTTTTAACTCTTTCAAGCATCTATATATATAATAGACAAATGTCCATATGTCTATTACGCTCTGTATCTCCTGAACGGTTAATCGTAGAAAAACGTATACGATATCAAAATGCTTCTTTTCAAGCGTACATTACAGGAAGACTATTCATCTTTTGCAATTCCTAAAATTTCATATCGACATCGATCTGTCAGTCTTCCTATGAGCTGAACGATTAATCTGAAAAGCAAACTTGTTAAGTAAAAAAAGTGTTTTTTTTATTGTTGTTTTTTGTGATGGAAATTTCACGAAAAACGTGACTTCCTCCGTTAACTGATTGAAAGAAATATTTCGAAGATAGGAGCATGAACAGAAAAAAGAAACGTGTTTGAGTATATATTTATTGTTGTTTGGTTTGTATTTATATTTTTTCATTTCGGTATTATATACATTCATGATTTTATTGTACCATGTCAAATAAAATGATTTGAATTGACATTTATATCTCACCTTTGACACTTCTTATAGAAATGACAAATGTCAAAATGTGCTCACTTAGATAGTGGTCTTTTCTTGCACTCAGTAAAATTACAAGGAACGAAGGTATCCAGAAGAAAAAAATCCCCGCGGCTACTTCGAGAAACTGAGCGCTCTATTGTGCTGGATGCACCCATTTCATCGAAATCCGAACATTTTTGCCAACAATGTATTGGTCAGTCTCCTTTGCTTGATAAAAAAAAAGACGCAATGCAATTTTTCTTATTGAAATAACACATGTCGTGACAAAATGCAGTTATAAACGGCCCACTAGGCATTGGGTTAACTGCATATTTTCATTTATTCATCCCTATTTTTTTAGGAAACTTATCTTTGAATTGTTTCAATGGGCAGCTGCTAGTGAGCAATACTTGACCCAGATAGTATGGCGAGGTTTTGTTTTGAAATTCAAACAAGGGAAGATGGAATATAAATAATGAGAGTTTTAACACCTGTATTGCACTTTAATGTCAAAATTTTTATTGTTAAATTTCAGACAAAGTTACCCGAGGACTATCTGCTTTAGCCGTCTCTAATTTAGAGGTGATATACTAGAGGACAGGCAGCTAATAAGCCCCACCCACTGCCAACTCTTGGCTACTCTTTACCAACAAATAGTGGGAATGACCGTCACATTATAATGTTCCCACGGCCGAAAGGGCGAGCATGTTCGTTTGTGGGATTCGAACCCGCGACCCATAGATTGGAAGTCGAGCGTCTTAATCACAAAATAACAATGAAGATGTATAGTTTCATATTTTACGTACGTTGGCGTTCTCTCAAGTCTGAGAAATTAAAATATGGTTAAAACAAACTTTAAAGTTTTGTAAATGGAGAAAT